TCTGTCTTTTCACTGTCCAGATATATGTGATTGATTGATTGACCTGGCAACACCACTCTTGATTCTCTGCATTTTCAGCTTTCAGGGCACAGGCCCAGACTGCCAAATGCTTACTCACTCCCTTTCCACCCAACCTTTCCTCACTCTAGCAAGAACACAAAGGATTAGAGTGACTGCCTCCATTCATAAAACACTTTCTGAGCACCTTTTACATCCTCAGCATTTTCTTATTTACTTTGGGTAAGAAAATGATAAAGCATAGTCCTTGGTTGCAGTCTATTGACAGGGAGCAATACCTAAATCTTGGGAACTAGAAAGATAGGGCCTGTTCATTTGTATTTTAGATGAGTTCCTGAATTGAATGTGGTTCGTTTGTACTTTAGATGAATTCCAGAATTGAAGGTGGTTTAGTTGAATGTGGTTCATCATCATGACTTTAGATTGAGTTTATAACTTGACAAGGTTTTATCTTGCCAATAACTTCTCTGGCATAAGTTACTGATTTCGAGATCGTTTATTTTGATAGGTATTCTAGAATTCCTTTATTGCCTTTTGTAGTGTAAAATAAACCCTTTCAGTTTTAAAGTGATTTGATATGTCTTCCACTTGTAAGCATTTAATTCTTCAGTGTATACAGTGGATAATCTGGGGATTTTACTAAGACAAGAATGCTTGGAGCACTGATTTCTATTGGTTTCACTCAGTTTGTCCCTAAGAGGCAGAAGAAACATTGTAGCATGCTGAACAGAAAGACTGACCAGTAAGGAGTTTATTTTCATAAACGATTGTGAGTGTTTCACTATTAACTTCACTATTTTCTCAGAAACAGGACTTCATTAATATCTCAGAAATCCTAAAAAATATACCACAGCCTCAAAAACTTGGGCAAAGTACTCTGAGAAAAATTAATATAGATGATGCTTCTTGACTGAATTATCCAAATATCATAAAATGAGTATGCTATGGTTTGAATATTTTTGTTCCTAGTAAAATTCATGTTGAAACTTAATCCCTAGTGCAACAATATTGGGAGGTGTGGCTTTTGGGAGGTGACTGAGTCACAAGGGGAGAGCTCATCCTGGCTGGACTTGGGGCTAGAACTTGGCTTAATTGTGTCTGTGTCCTAAGACTTTGTAGAATACAGAATTTAAGAGTTATGGACTAGGATATTTGGCAGAAGAAATCTCTCAGGGTAAAGTATTGAGGGGGCTGTGTGGCTTCTCTTAACTGCTTATAGTAGAATATGAGAAGAGAAAAACAAATTAAAGATTGAATTTATAATCAAAAGGGAAGCAGAATGTAAATATTTAGAAAATTCTCAGCTTGGCTATGTAAAGAATTAAAAAATATATTCAGTGGAGAAAACCAAGAGTGTGGCCAAGCAATCATTTGATAAGGAGGTAAAAGCATGGAGAGAAAGGACCCAGGTGCTATGGGAGAATGACCCTGAAGGCACTTCAGAGATCTTTGAGGCTGCCATGCTCATGATAGGTCCATAGTGTCAGGGAATTGAGGACGGAACAGTTTCAATGGAGGGACTCAAGGAGCCTTTGGGACCTCAGGGCTCACTGCCCAGGGCTGCCTTAAGTCTCTGTGCCCCACATTCTGCCAATGCACTCTTCAACAACCCAAGCTCAGGTGGGCCCAGGTTCAACTCAGACTGTCACTCCAGAGGACATAAGGGGTGAGCAGCTGACCCTGCAGACATGCAGAGTGCAAGAGTAGTGGAAACATGGCTACCTCCACCTATATTTTAAAGGATGTTTTGGATAGCTTTGTGGCCCAAGCAGAGACTTGCCACAAAGGTGGAGCCACTACTGAGAGCCCCGATTAAGTCAGTGCTTAGTGGAGCTACAGGGATAGGGCTGCCCTCAAGACTCCAGACCTGTAGAGCCATAGTATGCAACACTAGCTTGGGAAAGAGTCAACACTAGCTTGACTATTGACTCAAGCAGATACTTGACTCTAACCCATGAGAGCTGCATCATGATGGTCTGTACCTAGCAAAGCCATGGGCACAGGGTCACCTGGAGCCTTGGAGGCCCAACCCTACCTGGTGTGTCCAGAAGGCAGTATGTGAAATCAAAGAAGATTGTTCTCCAGCCTTAAGATATAATGTTGTTTGTGCTGTTCAGCTTTAGAATTACTTGAGACCTGTTACTTCTTTCTTCCTTCTCTTTTTTGGAATAGGAATGTTTATCTAATATCTATCTCACCACTGTATTTTGGAAGCATATAACTTGTTTGATTTCACAGACTCACATCTGGAGGGAAATTCACCCCAGGATGAATTGTATCTTGAGTGTCACCCATATATTTGAATGAGACTTTGGATTTAGACTTTAAATTTGATGCTGGGATAAGACTTTTGAAGGCCAGTGGGATGGAATGAATGTATTTTGTATGTGAGGACATGAATTTTAGGAGGTAAGTGAGACCATGATATGATTTGAATGTTCTCATCTTCAAAATTCATGTTGAAACTTAATCCCTAATGCAATGGTGTTGGGAGGTATCACCTTTGGTAGGTGACTGACTCATGAATGCTCTGCCTTCATGAATGGGATTAGATGCTCTTATGAAAAGGACTTGATGGTGGAAGTTTATTTCCTTTTTCCCTTCTACTTTCTGCCACATGAACTCATAGCATTCCTCCCCTCTGGAGGATGAATGATCAAGGTACAGTCTTGGAAGCAGAGACTAGAACCTCATCATATAATAAACCTGCTGGTCCCTTGATCATGATATTCTCAGCCTCTAGAACTTTGAGAAATAAATTTATATTTATTATAAATTACTCATTCTCAGGTATTCTATATAATAGTACATACTTAGAATACAAATTCCATTTTTCACTCATAGGCATAGATAGGTACTGCTGTAAATACTGTAGTATTCAGAACTCTCTTATTATAGCATCTGGGGCTTAGATCAGTGGTTCTATTCCATTACTTCATCCAAAACTTGGCTCCATCCCAGATTAATTAAATCAAGATTTGGGGCAGGTAGAGGGGAGACCATTTGTATTTGATTCTAATGTGCAGCCGGGTTGAGACCTGTCACCCTGGGCCATCAGGATGTGATACTGTTTTTTGAGTGTCATTAAGTATAATCAAAGTCTGGTGTCAAGAGATGCCATAGACGTTCTGCAGTTCCATCGATATGCTTACCATGTCTAGAGATACAAAGGATTACTTTTCTTGTCCACATGCAGATTCGAGAAGACAAAGTCAGTATTCTGTGATAGAAAAGAACATTATAAGAGAATAGGCCATTGAAAAGCTATTATAAGGAAGACCAAGAAAGTCTATAACATCTCCTGACACCAGACTTTGATTATAGGATCTTTCTTTCAGCCAAAATAATAAAGTTGCATCATTCGTTAACTTTTGTTATGGGTTTGATTGTGTCTTCCCACAAAAATATATTGGAATCCTAGCCCCAAGTAACTCCACATGTGATCTTATAAGGGGATAGGGTTGTTAGAGAGGTAATCAAACAGACTTAGAGTACAAATCCCATTTTTCACTCATAGCCATAGATAGGTACTGTTGTAAAAACTGCAGTATTTAAAATGAGGTCAATTGGGGAGGACCCTAATCTAATATGACTGGTATTTTTTAAAAAAGGAGAAAAGTTGGACACAGACAGACATACACACAGAGAGAACACCTGTGAAGATTGGAGTTATGGACTTACCAGATGCCAGGCAATAGGCCTAAAACAGATCTTCCTTAGTTCCTTCGGAAGCAGTGTGGCCCTGACAACACCTTGATCTCAGACTTACAACCTCGAGAACTGTGAGACAATAAATATTTGTTATCTTAGCCACTCATTTTGTAGTACTTTGCTAAGTCAGCCTCAGCAAACTAATACAACTTCCCAGACTAAAGTATTTGCAAGTAACTTTTTACATTCTTGTATCTGTCACATTTTTAATAGATTACAAAGGGGAAAACATATGTTATCATATTACTGGTCCTCAGGAAGTGGCATTTGAGATTGGCCTTAAAGAATAAATGGGTGTTTAATAGGCAGAGAAGTTTGAGGGTAAGAAAGGGTGAGGAGAAGTTTGGAAGAATAGAATTTCAGGTCTCAGAAACAACAGAAACAAAGATATTTATAATAATTGGTGTAGAATGTATCCCAGAAACAGGATAGTACACTTTGTTTGGAATGTACATGTAAGCACAGGGGAGCAATGAGGGAAAATATTTTAAGTTTAAATTATTTTCACATTGACAGTGGCCTTGAATATCAGCCAGAGGATTTTGAGCTTAGCCTGGCACTTCACAGACCACAGGGAAATGATGGTTCTTGAGCAGGGGTGTTACACGTCAGAAGTGTGTTTGGAGAGGCACCTCTGGCAGCATGTCATGGGATGGATTCCTTATGAGGGGAAGACTGGAAACAGAGACTTTAGTTGAGAAGCAGTTGCAATAGCCAGGGCAAATGGCGATGGGGGTGATGGCAGTGGGAATGGAAAGAACAGGTAGTTTAAGAAGCATTACTGCAAAGGAAAAGAGATAGGCAGGAACTTCAGGCATATGTCAGGCTAATGTGAAATGTCCTTAGGTGGGATTCTCTTGCCTGTTACATCATACCTTTCTTTGCATGGGCATAAGGCTGATGTGCAGAGGCTCTTCAATTAGAAATGGAATCTGGATCCTGACTCACTGGTATCCAAGAGGGAAAACTCAAAATGGTCCATGTAGCATGGAGCATTTGAGGTGCATGACAAGAGCCATGGGGCTGTGTGACACCAGTCAAGTATCTGTGTTTAACACATCTGTATCATGGGGTGTGTAGAAACGGGAGCAAGAACATCTGTAATTTTCCACTTTTACCTAAAGGCATCTGCTTCATTGACCACTTAATGTAGTCAAGAGTCAACTGACATATGCCTTAAATATGATAATTTGAGTTATTTCTCCTCTACTCAAAATTGCCATTTGTTAATTGTCACACTGCAACCATCTTTTTACCACCTTCTCCTCCAGGCAAAATAAACCTACAGCAAATCATGATGATCCCCTTTAGAAGCACTGAAAAATCATGTGTCTCACAGGTGTCTAGACTTTTCTTTGTCTGTGGTGCATGATGGCTACCTAATCTGCTTAGGCAGCTCAGCATGCACAGGTAAGTTAGATGTAACAATGCCAACTGCATGGATTATAGTGTTCAACATCAGGTGACTCTTTCACTTCAAATTCTTTGTAAATGTGGACAATTCTGAAGCCCCAGAAGCAGTGTAATCCTCCGTGCTGGGGTACACAGGCTGAGCCAGCTCTAAGGCTGCCTGGTTTCCTCCTGCAGGCATTAGACATCACTCACCCTCCCTTCTTAGTCCTGTCCTGAGGACATAGTAGCTCTTTGCCTGTTGATAGAAAAGTCCAAGTGTGTGGAGCCCTGTATTATGGCATGCTGGGGGCTATGAGCTGCTGTTCTCTGTATTTACCATCACTGTAGGGAGGGCAGAAGTTTCCCTCAGGTACACTGTAAGGCAATCTGGAATTCTAGTTGCTTGCAGAGCTGAATTCTGCATCTGATCATGCAGATGCATAAGAATAGGACCTCAGCCTGTTCCTGCTGCCACTTTCATAAGCTAAAACATGCATCGATGAAGCATTTTTAAGTAAAAGTTCTTTGCACAAAGGATTAAGGATTTGATCATTATTGAGTTGATAATGTTCACTCTCTATTGTTTCTTAAAGATACAATGGAGAGTAGTCCCAAAGTAAAGAGTTCAGGAGTGATTACAGTTTGAATTCAGTGAACTAGGCATATATTTCCCCTTGTAGCAAACAATAGAATCTATCTGGTTACCTTGGGAGATGTAAATTTAACCACATATAACTGATTTATGGATAGAGAAGCAGAAGTAACTAGTTTAGAGAAGGGGAGGGAGAGACAGAAGAAGTGGGGCGGGTATCAGATATGCAGAGGAAAATGGATAAGAGAAAGAATACTTCTGGCCTCATGGTTTTTTGGTTCCAAATACATTGTGAATCTTTATTTCATCTTGGTCTTTGTATGCTAAGAGATACTCTTATGTTAAAATTTCTTCATTTTATTTTTGTTTTAGCTGTGTTAGCTAAAACTGTTTGCTGTTGTTTGTTGCAACTTCCTCAGTTTTTAGAAAATCACATTGCTCCAAACGAAGTCTCTCTTTCATTTGGTATTTTTAAGCATCAAAAATCTTTGTCCACTTTAGTTATTCGCAGTCTAAGCGTCTTAACAATTATGAGTGTTTTTTAGGATGGACCAAGCTAGTTTCTCCTAAAATACAATTATAGTCATCTTTTTACAATTCTCAGAAAAATGTGAGTTAATGAATGATCGCCTTCATTTTATGTTTTTCTCTCAAAAATTATTTCTCAAGCCATTGGAAATCGTAACCACTTGCCTGGTTTTGAATACTAGCAGATGACAAAATGACCAAGCTGAGAAATGTTAATAGGAAAACTGAGGAGCTGCCCCTTGCATTTAGCTTGCAGCTTGTTTTGGTAGACATGTAACAATAATTTCACATTGTGTGTATGTACTTATACACAGGTATATTTATATGTACACTAGCGTTTATCTATGTAAGTCTTATTTTCTACTACTAAGACAGATGCTAGTTTGTGTGTTAGAATATAACCGACCAATAGGCATTTTTGGCACCTGAAAAAGTTTGGAAGCCACTGCCTCAGATTAACTTAAGTCTCCTTTGTTTTTTTAGTTCTTACCTTTCCCAAGCACTGCAGTCATATGGGCCCCAATCTGTCTCTCCCACCACTGTTTTGTCACATGCTAGCTCGATTTCTAGCCTTTCACAATGGGAGTGTCCTTGTAACCCACACACTGGCATGGCACATGCATATTGTATATAGAGACTAGAGGGCCGGAATCTGCATGCATTTTTAATTGGGGAGAGGAGCCATTCCTCTCAATGACCCTGAGGGGTGGAAGACCAGATCTCAAGATCCATAGTGTGTATTTCTTTAAAGTTTGCGCAACCTTGCATCAGTCCCTGTGGAGAATACCTATTCATTAGATTGGTTCTTTGTCTGGCTTAGAGATGCTAGTGTTTTTTAAGTTAGGTCTGTGGATGGAGACAGGAATATATAATTAAATATAATAAAATTTTTGCATCAATTAAACCTTGGGCATGCTTGTTAAATGCTTTTCATAAAATGCTTATTAAACTTCTCATGAATGATGTTCTGATAATAGAAGATAATTTCTAGGTTTGTAGAATTCAAGACTAAGTTGATTTTTTCTTGCTATTCATTTGTTTTAATGAAGAGTGTCATGTCAGACCCCTACTAACTTCAGTAGGGAAGGTGCCAGGTTCAAGAGGCCAAAGAAGAGACCCAGAGCCAGTAAACAAGACATGGGGTTTATTGAGGAAAACTTACATACAGGTATGGTCCACCGGCAGTGGGCTGGATAGGAGAACTGTGTGGACCAGTGGCAGCAGGCTGAGCAGGAGAACGACAACCACTTGTGAAAAGCATGGAGTTTATATAGCATTTCACTTAGCACCCTCCCCCTAGAAACTTCCACCTAGCAACCTTCATTTAACTCAGACAAGAGGGCCTTGATCCATTGTAGGCCAGCATTCCATGGTATAAACTGGGTGTTCGGATGTTCCTCATGGATAAGGAATGAATCTCCGGGTTGGCTACTCCCAGATTGCTTAGTTTGGCACTCTGAACACACATTCAGGTATGTCTGCCATACAGGGTCATTCTCAGGCTATGCTTACGCTAATTTTTCAGGTGTGGGTACCATACAAAGAGGTAAATATTAATTAATGCGTCTCCCTTTTCACAAAAAACAACATTACTCATGTAGATAACTGGCAAGTTCAATATTAATGAAGCCTCTTTTTCCATGAATAAGGGAATCTGTCAGTTATAACTCGATTTGCTAAAATATCAGGAGATCCTGCTTTCCCTTGGGAAGGTCATTTATTTATTCATTCTAATTTGGCATTTAAAATGCTGTTATTTATTACATCTTCTTTATAGTTTTTGGGGTTTAGAAAAAAATCACATTACTCTAACCACATGTATACACATGTGACAAACCTGCATGTTCAGCACATGTAGCCCAGAACTTAATGTAAAATTTAAAGAATGAAAAAGAAAAAGAAAGATCACATTGCTCCAAATGGAGACCCTTTCTTTTATTTGGTATTTTTAAGCAGCAAAATCTTTGTCTTTAAAATTATCTTCCACAAAAGCCTCCCCATCTTAATATATTTGAGAAATGTGCTTTTTCTAGCTAATATGTTAGACAAACATGAAAGATTTTTATAAAATCTTTCTACTCAATGTTAATTTCTAGACATAAATTTATAGGATGTTGTTTTGCTTTGTAAATGTTTTTCTTTTTCTCTCACTCCTCATCCTTTTATTTCTGCTTCTTCCACTGCCTCTCTCCTAGTGAGCCTGTTTTTTTCTCTTTTGGCTGCTTTACGACCAAAGGGTCTCAGTAGTGATGGGAGGATGAGGGATAAGGATGGAGTTTATGCAAACCACTCAGGAAGTCATTTCCAAATAGTCATGCCTGAACCCATTTTCAAATATTTTGATTCAGTTGGTCTGGGGTGAGACCCAAACATATATAGTTTTTTAAAGCTCCCCAGGTGATTCTGATATTCTCCCTTGATTTGGAATCACTGCTTTAGTGACTACCTCTATGCTTTGTACATTGAGTCAGTATTTTCCCTCCCTTCGATTTTTATTACTGCAATTCACAGAACTATCCATACGCAGGCCTTATATAATTTGCATCATATATCTCTTAAATTTAATCCACCCAATACACCTCATTCATGTTAATTTTTATTTAAAAATTGGCTTTATTATGATTGCACAATTAATATGTCATAAAATTTTCAAAACACAAAAATATACAGTTGACACATCACTTATAGTCATATCCCCAGAAATAACCAGATCCAATTAGAATACTAGAAACCATTGTGGCTATTTAAAGCAGCAGAAACTTAATGCGGGGGATTCATTACAGCAGCCACGGAAGAGGATGAGGAGTTTACCAGGGCTTGATCAGGTTAGCCAGTGATTAGTGATACCAGGAAGCTGCTAAGCTCCTTAACTGAGGGAGGAAAGGAAGGGCAGGAACTCAGGGGCCAGGGCTACCAAGGAGTAGCTAGGAAGACATGCCAAGAAAATGATGTAGCTGTTGCTGAAGAAATCCAAAGCAAACAAGTAGGTGGAGATATACCCTGGCTTCTTTCCACCCACTCCTCAATCTTTTTTTTTTTTTAAATTTGTTTATTTCAATAGGTTTTTGAGGAACAGGTGGTGGTTGATTACATGAATAAGTTCTTCACTGCTGATCTCTGAGATTTTGGTGCACCCATCACCTAAGCAGTGTACACTGTACCCAGTGTGTAGAATATTATCCCTTGCCAGCCCCCACCCTTTCCCCCAAGTCCCCAAAGTCCAATGTATCAGTCTTATCCCTTTGCATCCTCATAGCTTAGTTCCCACATATAAGTGAGAATATATGATGTTTGGTTTTCCATTCCTGGGTTACTCCACTTAGAATAATAGTCTCCAGGCTGGGCGCAGTGGCTCACGCCTATAATCCCAACACTTTGGGAGGCTGAGGCCAGTGGATCATGAGGTCAGGAGTTCAAGACCAGCCTGACCAACATAGTGAAACTCATCTCTACTAAAAATACAAAAATTAGCCGGGCATGGTGGTGCACACCTGTAATCTCAGCTACTTAGGATGCTGAGGCAGGAGAATCTCTTGAACCCAGGAGGTGGAGGTTGCAGTGAGCCAAGATTGTGACACTGCACTCTAGCCTGGGCAACAGAGTGAGACTCTGTCTCAAAAAAAAAAAAAAAGTCTCCAATTCCATCCACGTTGCTGCAAATGCCATTACTTGGTTCCTTTTTATGGCTTTTTCCTTCCTTCCTTCCTTCCTTCCTTCCTTCCTTCCTTCCTTCCTTCTGTCCTTCCTCCTTCCCTCTCTTCGCCTCTCCTCTCCTCTCCTCTTCCTTCCTTCCTTCCCTTCTCCTCCTCCTCCTTCTTCTTCCTTCCTTCCCTCCCTCCCTCCCTCCCTCCCTCCCTCCCTCCTTTCTTTCCTTCCTTCCTTCCTTCCTTC